TGATGTGTTTTGAATATCAAATGCTTTTGTTTTAGTATCATTCATTTGATTCTAAATGTATATCATTTAATTTTCAACAATGCTACGTTAAAAAATCGGCTCACAAAATTCCTGAAAATTTACCTATCGGCATATAGCTCCTGCACACCATTACCTTCAATGTCCCTTTACTTCCCAAAGAAACTACTTTTGCTTGAATTCTTGTCTCAAAGTCGGCTTGTTGGGAAACCGAACTAAACTTCCATCTTGTGAAGCCACTGTTATTTGGGGGAGGGGGGGAGGGGTGGGGGGAGTCTTCCTTACAGCTGGATCTATTCCCAACTGATAGAGCGAGGTTTGAGATTCATTGGTCATGCAAGCATTCAACAATTGGTTTTTTAGCACATACTTAATAAGGACACAGTTGGGAACAATATAGTCCCAGTCAGGCCTTCATGGGGGATGGACAATAACAAATAACCAAATTGTGTGTGTGTGTGTGTGTGTGTGTGTGTGCGCAGGGAACATCTCTCTGAGGAGGTGACAGTCAGTTGAGCTGAGACCTAAATATGAGAAGGAGCCAACCACACAAAATCCGAGAGAAGATTCCAGACATAAAGAACTGCTAGTACAAAGGCCTGAGGTGGAGATGAGTTGACAAGTTCCAGGAGGTCTGTGTGGCTGCAACAGGGCAAGTGAAGGGGAGAATGGTAGGGGATAAGGCCAGATCATGCAGAGCCTTGCAGTCCATGGTGAGGACTCTGGATTTTATGTGAATTGCAATGGGAAGCCCTTGAGAGTTTTAAATGGGAGAAACACTGCCAAATTCTTGTTTTTAAAAGACTGCTTTGGCTATTAAATGCAGACTAAGAAATTAGAGGTGACAAGAGTAGGAACAGGAAAACCACACAGAAGGCTACCACAGAAGCCTAGGTGAGAGAGAGGTGGAAGGTGGCTGAGGCAAGGATAGCACAGTGGATTATCACAGAATAACCACCAACGAATCACACCTTAAACTCATGCCCCTGTGTGGTCCCCTCCCATTTTGACTCTGGACTGACCTTGTGACTTGTTTGGATCAATAGAATGTGGCAGAACTGATGCTATGGGAGTTCTAAAGCTTAGGCCTCAGGAAGAGCCTCACAGCTTTCACTCTCACCCTCATGAACCCGAGACCACAGTGTGAAGAGGCCTAGGCTACCCCCTTGGGGATGAGAGACCATGTGGAGAGAAAGGCCTGTCTGATAGCCAGCACCAACCACCCAGACATACGAGGCCACCTTGTACCCTTCAGCCCCAGTCGAGCCATCAGAAGAGAATATGCGAGAGCTCCCAGGTGATACCATCAGAATTGCCCAGGTTGCCAGGAATCCAGAGAAATAAATAAATCATTGATTTGAGACACTAAGTTTTAGGGTTGTGAGTTATGTAGCAATAGATAACTGAAACCAGTGTGAAAAGGACACAGACTAGTACATCCTACCCTTCTCCTTGGAAACACCTAGGGATCAGATTGGCTTCCTCTAAGCCCAGCCCCACCCACCCATTCTCCTGGAGAAGCACTTTTGCAGGTATTTGGAACTACATGCCCTGATGTTACTATAAGAGCCCTTTGGTTTGGGTTTTGGTTTTGTCTGTCTGTCTGGTTGTACAGCAGTGGCATGGATGCGACTCAATGGATTTGAGTCAAGCCTCAGCCCCCTTCTGATTCATTGGGTAACCTTGTCCAAATTTCTCATCATCTCTTTATCTTAATGTCTCCATCGTTCCAAAGATAAAAAGGACTGTACTACTGACCTCAAACTAATAATAGTAAACATGTATACAGTATAGGACTTATCACGTGACAGGCACTATTCTAAGCTTTGATATGTATTAACTTCTTCAGCCCACATAACCATCCTATTAGGTATTATGATACGTGCTCTACAGTCGAGGAAGTTGAGGTTTAGAGAGGTTAAGAAACTTGCCCATCTTCACACCCATTAGAATGGTTATTATTAAAAACAGCAACAACAACAACAACAACAACAGAAAAGAACAAATGTTGGTGAGGATGTGGAGAAATTGGAACCCTTGTACAGCCACTGTGGAACATAGTACGGCAGTTCCTCAAAAAGTTAAACATAGAATATCACATGATTCAGCAATTCCACTTCTGGATATGCCCAAAAGAAATGAAAGCAGTGACGGAAACGGATATTTGTATACTCACATTCATAGCAGCATTAGTCACAATAGCTAAGAGATGGAAACAACCCAAATGCCTTAAAAAGGAATACAATTCTGATACATGCTACAACATGGATGACACTTGAAAACATTATGCTAAGTGAAATAAGCCAGACACAAAAAGACAAATATTGCATAATTCCATTTATGGTATCTAGATACAGTAATAGCTTGGTTTGTGAGCATAATTTGTTCCAGAAACAAACTGCTTCTATTGCAAGACATCTCTTGTTTACCACGTTAAAATGTATTAGAAATGTTTGCTCGTCTTGCGGAACACTCGCAAACCAAGTTACCCGCAATCCAAGGTTGTACTGTATCTAGAATTAGGCAGATTCATAGAGACAGGAAGTAGAATCATGGTTACCAGGGCCAGGGTGGAGTGGGGTAAGGTATAATGGGGAGCTAGTGTTTAATGAGTATAGAATTTTGGTTTGGGGTGATGAAAAGTTCTGGAGATGGATGGTGGTGATGATTGCACAATATTGTGCATATATTTGATACCACTGAATTGTACATTTAAAAGCAATTAAAATGGTAAATTTTATATGATGTATATTTACCACAATAAAAGTTTTTTAAAGGAAAAAAGAAACTTACCAATGTGATGGAGCTAGTGAGAAGTGGGAATGGGATCTAAACTCTGGCAGTCTAGCTCCAGGATTCTGGTGGATGTTACCAAAGGAGATGGGGATATGAAAGCCCTTTGGGGGAAATAGAAAGCATGAGGAGGGGGGAAATGGAAAACTGAGGAGGAATCATATGCCATTTGTGGAGCTTTGTCCCTTATCATCCAGAAATGGTGGGAAACCCCCAGGATGCAGGCTCCCGGAGAGCTGGCTGCTAGCTTGCAATTTATGGTTTACTAGCTATGAGATTCCAGGCTAGTCCCTCCTAGTCTCCCCAACTTCCTCCCCCTTGGGGAGGATATCTGTTCTGCTACTCTTTGGGGTGGTTGTGCAGGTCACAAGAGCTAATAGGTGTGTGTTTTAATTTTCTATTGATGCATAAGAAACCACTCCAAAATCTAGAACAACTGGGCTCAGCTGATGCTGGATGAGGTTATGCATGTGACTGCATTCAGCTGGCAGTTCAGCTGGGGTTGGAATGCCCAATATGACTTCATTCACAATTTTAGTACTTAGCTGGAGTTTCTAGAATGTCTTGAGGAGTTGGCTGGACCTCCTTCTCTCTCCATATGGCTCTCCAGCAGGGTAGCCAGACTTCTTTAGACCTACATGGTGGAAGCAGAAGCTGCCAAGCCTCTTAAGACCAAGACCCAGAACTGGCAGTCATTTATACCATATTCTATTGGTCAAAGCAAGTGACATGACCAGCCAGAGTCAAAGGAAGGAGAAACAGAATCTACCTGTTGATGGTGGAAACAGCATGCTCATGCAAAGATGGGAGGACTTGTTGGCAATCATTCTTGCAGACAATCCACCACAGGTCATAGGTGGGGATCAGAGTTCAACTGTCCCTTGCCAAGAGATAGGATTACATAAGAAAGTTTTATGAATAGTTTTAGCATAATGCTAAATGCTGCAGCACACAGTAAATGGTAAGTGCTGATTATTATTATTATTAATCATTAATGTTTTAACAACTTTTTTTTTTAAGATTTTTTTTTCCATTGGGGAATTGGGGGAGGGGAACAGACAAGTTGCTGTCCTTTTGTTCTTCAGTCTAGTTGTGCAGGACATTGCTTCATTGGCCCATGTTGGTATTATCATTGCACTCTTCCCGGGTGAGGCAGATGGGTCACCGGCCTCTGGACAGCCACTCATGGCGGCTCTTGGCAGCTCACACCAGCTGCAGGCCGCTCACACTGGCTGCCGGCCACACACGGTAGCTTACGGCAGCCCACTGCACCAGAGGCTGCAGCCTACGCCATCACCAGTGACTCACAGCAGCCCAGCTCCGGGTCGAACTGTTGTTCACCATCGTAGCTGTAGAGGACAGTGTCACTGGCCCTCATGTGGGATCCAAACCAGGGCCCTGCTGCTCAGAGCTGGCGTCCCAAGCCAGCTCTTAACCAACGCGCCACTCGGCCGGCCCTTAACAACTTTCTGAAACAGCCACAGACAGCACTGGTACTGTATCCACTTTACAGTGACACATGGACCAAATGAACTGCCAGGTCTCTCCCAATTTTAACACCATGACTCTTTTGAGTCCCCTTTTCCAGAGAGTGGAAACTAAGGCATAGGAAGGTTGAGTGACTTGCCTCAAGTCACATACTTACCTAACTAGCTAGCACATGATGAAGTCCACATTCAAAGATGTCTTCCTCCACTAAATATGCTGCTTTCATTCATTTAATAAATGGTGTATTGTATTGGGCACCTACTATATGCCTGAAGGAGTATACATAAGAGTATAATGACGATTATTTATTGAATACATGCTATGTAACATTATGTCATTGAATCCTCATCATAAAAATATGATGAAGCTATTATAATAATCCCCTCCCCATTTTACAGATGAGAATGAAGCAGAGTGAGGTTAAATAAAAGACAGGATCCTACTCTCATAGGGATTACAGTCTATTAGAAAGGATATAGGATAGTCAAGCAAGTAATTAAATATATAATTATATTCTCAGAGTCGAGCTGCTATTACAGCCCTGGTAACCACCCCACTCACACAAATCAAGGCCTCAGGTAACCCTGGCAACGGGTCTTCCTGCCAATAGTAAAGATGGCGCCCAAAGAACAAGCGCGTTTACGCACACTCCCATTACCCACAATGCAGTGGAGAAGGGGGCGGTGCAGTTTCTGCCAGGAGCTAATATGGCTCCCATAGTTACACCATCCTCTCTCCTCTCCTAATCAGCGACTTGACTGCTCAGACCAGGCTACGGATCAGGAGCTAAGTATCCTTTGTCCCTCCCAACCGCAACTACAGGAGCGATTGAAATCGGGAGGCACCTCGCGGAGTTGAATTCCATAGCCAGGGAAACACCACTTCCGCTGACGTCATTACGGCGACACGTGGATCCAAGATGGCGGCGGCGATGGTGAGTGAAGGAGACTCCGGGAGCCGGAGCTGGAGCGGGGTTCTCCGGGGGATCCCAGGATCTTCCGGCGCCCCATGCCTGGCCCTAGCCACCTCCGGAACCCCTAGCTCAGGCCTAAGGGATGTCCCTGACTGGGCTTGTCTCCCCAAACTCCCCCATCCCCGGCATTGGCCCCGCACTCAGGCTTGTCAAGGCCCGGAGTTTTGGGGGAGACACTGGGTCCCAGGAAAGGTCTCGTCTACCGTCTTCGCGGGCTCCTATCCTACTTTGGTCTCTGCCTTTTGTGGCCCCCATTTTCCAATTTCCACTTCCCAGCCTTAACCCTTCAGAAGAGTCTCCCCATTATTCCCACCCTTGCTCCTCCCCCTCACGTCCAGACTCTGCTCTCTCAGCCTCCCCGCCTCCCCACTATCCTGACCAGTCCGCGGTTGCGACCTCGCCTTTGACCAGCCTCCCAGCCCAAGCCCTGTTTCAGATTCTTTCCAGAGCCCGGTCCTCACCTCCACCCTCACCTGTTCCCATCGCTCACCCGTTTTGACTGCCGCTACCCCGGAGCATGCTCTTATCCAGTCTACCGTCCCCAGACCCTTCCGTCACCATTTTTCCTGTCTCCTCTCATTCAACTCTATGCCTTTCCTGGGGAGCATTTATCCCATTGGTTCTCAAACTTTACTGTGCATAAGACTGGGGTGGGGGGGCATGTTGAAAATGCATTTTCCTGAGCCCTATTCCCAAAGATCCTAATTATGTAGGGCTAGGTGATGTCCAGGAATCCACGTTTATGAGCACTCCAGTGATTATGATGGAGGTGGTCTGTACTACGTTTTAAAAAACACTATACTAGCCCTGTCTGGCTGCTTCCCCTTCCCATGCCCTTACAGGGCTACACAACTCATTAGGAATGAAGTTTATTAGGGTGGAGCTGGTTAGGATGAAGCCTGTGTGAATAAGGATGCAGTGTGCCTGGAAAGTGGGTCAGAACTTGGCTCCTGGTACAGAACCCTGGAAGTAGATCTCTGAAGGACTGGCCTTTCTTCCAGAAGCGTGGCTCACATTCCGCTTGTCAAGAGACCAGATTCAAAATTGAAGACATTTAGTCCAGTGATTTTCTAGCTCTTTCTATATGTTGCTTCCTTAGCAGATAATTTTATCCTGGGAGTGAATGCAAAGGTAGACCGAGAAAAGGAAATGACATTTGATTTTAACAAAGATTCTTGTTTAAATTCTTTGATGTTGGTTTTCACCAAACAAGGGTAGATTATTGGCTGATAATGGGTTTCCCTCTTGTTAACCAATTGATACCTTATCCTTTTTGTTTTATGAGGGATTCATTATTTAGAATTTCAGAGGTCAGGTAAAAGATTTCACAGCCATGCCTGGTTTCTGTGGTGTCAGACTTTAATCTGAACAATGAATGGGGAAAATCCCGAAAGTGGCATGTTGAAACCCATTTTTTTTCTGGACCGCATTCAGAACAAGATGGTGTAAGAGCATAACAGGAAAAGTCACACCCTCTCTTGCCATAGGGAAAATGTTTAATAAAGTGGCATTTATAGCATTGCGTTGGGAAATTCCTGCCCTGTTCAGTGGTTTTTAAGAGTCAATAAGTTAGCGGTACATAATTCTAGTACACATTTACATAATCAACAAATATATGTGTGTCTGCTCTGTTTTAAGACCAAGGGATGTAGGGGCCGGCTGAGTGGCTCTGTTGGTTAAGAGCTCGCTCAAGAGTTTGAGCTCTGAGCAACAGCGGTTCGAGGCCAGCCCGAGCTGAGCAGCCGCTAAGCTGCCAATAGGTAGCAGGATGGCTCAGCTAAAAAAAAAAGAAAAGACCAAGGGATGTAGTTATAAATTAGAGAGGGTCAAGGTCCCAGCCCTCGTGGAGCTTTTCTAGTCTGAGGAGGGAGAGAACAAGTAAACAAATAAGGTGAACAAGATAAAGTCAGATAGTGCTGAGTGCTGTGAATACAATAACTCGTTTCAGGAAGCAGGATGTAATGTATACAGTGACCCATAGGCCAATTTAAAAGGTGCACACAACAAACTTCATGTTTGATGCGATAGTGAAGGGTATGGAAACAAGTTTATTACCAAGGGATATGTGTAACAGGCACAGTGGGGTCACAGATAGGCTTGAGTTTGTTCTGTGTGAAGCACTTTACACGGAAGTCGTAACAGTCCCCACACCCTTCTACACACAGGCTGTTTCACAACCACTGGGGTGGAAGCGTGTGGAGCTGCTTGGGGGTGTATGGGTTTCTGCGGCATGTCATACAACCAGAGAGGAACTGAGCTAGTGGATTCAGTGACCGTGGGAACAGGCCGGGTTTTTGGTTTGCTCTTTTGAAAGTTCGGGTTGTGGGTGCAGGTTTCAAGCGGTAGTATTGATTGGCTTTTCCCCCTCCTCCCTTTCCTTCTTGAATGGCTCTTTTCCCCTTAGGGTTGGGCTGCCATCTCCCAGCTCTGTGTTAGCACAGTGGATGTTTCCTGAACCTGCAATACACGACTTCTCCCACCATAGGAGTGTGGCTGGTGTAAACTCAAGTTCTCTCTGGTTTTACTGCCTTTCTCCTGCCCTGGGTTTAGATGACTCTGTTATAAAGTTACAGGATACAAGTTAGCCTTGCTAGGTTGGAGGTGAGAGACAGGCTCATATGTCACTCTTTATGGAAATAGGAAATATTGAGCATATGAAATATGCTTTTGGAAATATTATTGTGGCAGAACTTAGGAACTGGCCATCGAGTACATTTATAGGCATCTCAGGAGTCTAGAAACCTCCATGTGGAGAATAAAAGTCTGTGTACTTCTCTCACATCTATCATTGTTCATACTGTTTTGGATTTCATCTTTTTCTTTTTCTATCACTATAATTAATATACCATAAAATTCACTCTTTTAAAGTATCCGGTTTGGTGGTTTTTAGTATATTCACAAAGTTGTGCAACCTTTACCACTGTGTACTTCCACAACATTTTCTTCACCCCAGAAAGAAAGAAGCCCATTAGCAGTCGCTTCCCACACTCCCCCTCCCCAGCCCCTGGCAACCACTAATTTACATTCTGTCTATAGATTTACCTATTCTAGACATTACATAAGTGTAATCATACAATAGGTAGTGGTTTGTATCTGGCTTTTTTTTTTTTTTTACACATAGTATAATGTTTTCAAAGGTAATCCATGTTGTAGCATGTATCAGTACTTCATTCCTTTTTATGGCCAAATATTCCATTGTATGGATAAATGATATTTTATTTATCCTTTTATCCATTGATGGGCAATGGGATTGTTTGCACCTTTTGGCTATTATGAATAATATTGCTGTGAACATTCATGTGTAAGTTTTTGTGTGAACATGTTTTCAGTTTTCTTGGATGTATATCTAGGAATGGATTTACTGGGTCGGTTTACATTGTTTTGAGGTTACTTTAATTTGATCTAGTCCAGAGGCAGGGGAATGGACCTCATGACCCGCAGGCTCCCTTGAGCAGATGGAGGCAGTGCTAGCCAGCCCTCCCCTCCCCCCACCCGCTCAGTCAGAAGCACAGGGACTGTTTTTAGTGGTGCACTCTGGATGGTAGAGTCCTAGAACAGGAGGCAGGAGGCCTGGACTCGGTCACTAGTTCCGTGTATGGGAAGTTGCTGTCTCCTCTGGGCCTCACTTGCAGATGGGCATCAGCCCATGAAGGAAGGAGCACTGGAGCAGGAGTCAGCAGCCTATGCTTAGTCCCAGCACTGCCACTGATCCACTGTGTGGCCTGGGGCAAGTTCCTTTGTCTTTATTGGTCTGTTTCCATGTCTGTCATATGTGAAATTAAGGTGTGGACTTGACAATTTCTAAATACCAGGTTGGAAATTCAGTTGTTTAGAATACTTGCACTTAAGGTGACTTCTGCTAACATGCCTATAAAATCAGATTGATTTTGGGTTTTTGCCATGAGCATAGTCCCTGTGGCCTTTCCAAGCTTTTGGCTGTTGATTGTGTTGACCGATCTCTTGAGTTGCCCCACCTGGCACATATTCTTCAGGAGCCACTGTGTCCCTGGAGCTGAGGTGCCGACACCAGGCCTTGGTTCAAATGTGTTTCTCTGAGGAATCCCTTTAAAGGAGTGCCCTTAATCCCCTTAGGAAGTACAGAGGAGGCAGAGCCAGGCATTAAGTTGCCTCTTGGTTTCTCTTTTACAACTTGGACAAAAGTTCCCCTTTGATCTCCACATTAAAGAAGCAGGTTGCAGAACGCTGGAGAAGGTTGAGTTTTGATCTGTAGGCACTGGCAGGAAGGTGGGAAGGACCCAGGATGAGCAGGGCCATCTGGCCACAGACAGTGATAGGAGCCACCTACCACCCCCCAAACCTGCTTTGATCCCTGAACCATTTGCTGACACTAGTATTTCCCAAATGGGACATGGTTGGGGACACCCAGGACTTATCAATTCTGACTCATTCCTCTTCATTGCTTCTTTCTCTGCCTTCCTATCATGATTTCTCACCTATGCCTGAGCATTAAACTGGCAGCCCTCCCAGGGTTTGCAATCCTAGATTTTGTATTCAGAAGGTATGCTAAATACTATTAGCAGTTCTTAAAAACAAAAATCACAAGTTGGAACTGAATTCTTTTTTTTTCTTTTTTTTTTTAAAAGAATTTATTGGGGAATTAGGGGACGGAAACAGTGTTGGGGAATTGGGGGAGGAGAAGAGCCAAGTTGTTATCCTTTAATCTTAGTTGTGGAGGGCGCAGCAAGCTCAGTTCCAAGTCCAGTCGCACCGTTCAGCTCAAGGTGCTGCGTTCAATTAGTTGCACGTGGGCATATCCACCATCCCATGTGGGAGTGGCACCAGCAGCCTCATTGTTAAGAGCGCATGCTGTATCCACTGAGCCATCCGGGCAGCAGCTCAGCTCAAGGTGCCGAGTTCAGTCTTAGTTGCGGGTGGGTGTAGCCACCATCCCATGCGGGAGTTGAACCGGCAGCCTTGTTGTTAAGAGCACGCACTCTATC